TCTTTCTTTTCATGATCCTCTTCAGTTCCCTCACAGCCCTCTTCTGACAACATTTAGTAGGTCTCCTATGCTCATTCCTATTTCTCCTTCACCACATCCCCTTACCAAGTGTTCCATTGACTCTTTTTTTCTTTCGCATATCCTACATGTTTTATCGCCCACTTCTCTCCAATGCTGTCCTCTGCATTCATTTCTATATCTGAACCTTCCTATAAACTCATTCTTTGCCTTCGTTTTCTAGTATCTAGATATTTCTAGTCTTTCCTTTCTTCCTCTTTTCTCTTTTTCTTTCTCCTTTCTTTTATTCTGTCGAGTACCTTCCCGCTGTTTCCCCTTTTCTCTTTCTCTATCTTTTCATTTCTCTTCTTGTCACCTCAATTTAAGCCCATGTCTTTGTTCTTTCTTTCTCCCGACCCTTCACTTTTTTCTTTCCTTTCTCTCTCCAGCTCCCGTGTACATTCCCTTATTAAACTTTTCTTCGAAGTTCTTGCTTCCTTTTCGTACTGGATTGCCCTCCTTGAAGCTCTGTCTCTTATTTCTTCTCCCTCACGGTATATTTATATCTAAGCCTAGAATCCATTTGATATGTATATTGATTGAATTTCGATATTGATTTCATGCACGTACATAGATTTGATCGTATGTATCAATTTATATTTTGTTTGGGCTACAACTAACGTAACTACCTCGGAGGGCTAGCTTCATAAAGAAGGACAAATCAAACAAGATTTTTAACAACATTTTATAATTCAATAACATCAACTATAAAACGATAACAAATGATTGCCTGTGAGTCACAAGCGAACGACTTATCTTTGATCTCTAAGCGACAAGCGAATCTTTTTCTATCTGCTTGAGGATCAAGAATTTTCCTCAAATGTCACCTCAAAGGTCCCCCCTACTTTCCCAGCTTAGAGTGGGCGGTGACGACAAAACGGCAAATCACAGGGAGCCCAAGACGACACAGGGTTGTTCAAAATTCAGCAACGATTGGGATCTAGGTGAGGATGTCGCGACGCTGTCAGGAGTGTCCAAGATCCACCGATCGACACTGGGAAATTCCCAACATCAGGCGATGATACGTGCTAAGGCCCCCGGGCCCATCACAGTATGTATTTTTTACAGAGTCAGTAATTTAAACCCTGAGACAGAAAAAAAACATTCCATGCAATGTCGGTATAGATTTTAATTTTGTGCTGCGACTGTGTCAGTCCTACTTTATCGACTGTTGAACTTAAATTGATTGACGACGGACGCAGCAAAGATACTTGTTTCTGAAGCTAACATTTTATATTTCAGGTCATCTACTGCCCCTACCCTATAGTCCCTCCAAATTTCGTTTCGATCGCTCGCAGATTCCCTATTAAAAGTACAGCTAGTCATACATATATCAATTCTATGAAAATTATCAATAAACTATTATCAATGAAATTAGTTAAATTTAATATGTAATAGCTACAAATATTTCTAAGTTTCTAATCTTATTGAAATATGAAAATATTTGAAGGGTAAAAATTTATTGCGAGTAATACTGTAACATAACAAAATTTTGTCATGTTATTTACTACACTATAGTTCGTTTTTCGGAAGAAAAAAAGTTGAGATTCACAACAACTGTCCACCCTATACTTGTCACAATCACATGGGAAGTATAACCACATGGGCAGATATTATGAGGGATGCGGCAGTTTTTGCTTCTTTCGAAAAACGGGGGGGATAGAGAAAATTCATTAATATTATTCACCATAGTGTAGATATTAATGATTTTTTAATATCGATATTTTAATGTGAAACTGTATTTCTTTTTATTGATCAGACCATAGGTAAAATGATCTAAGAATACCACAAGTTTTCAATATTTTATGACTTTTTTATTGAATGTTTCTAACTGGTATCGAGAAACAATGTAGTGTTTGCCATACATATTATAAACTGGTCTTTATGTATTAAAATTTTTTATGTCAATGTAACCAATGATATCTGTGTCAAATTTTTTTTCGTAACACGCACTTTTTATATTAATTTACACGAATCTGTACCAATCACTTATGGCGATTATGATAAATGCAAAGACAATCATTTTTATATACGGACTGATGAAACATTATTACTTTATCTACGAGATTTTGATATGATCTATGAAAATTTGTTATATAGGTAGTTGTTTTTTAATTAAATTTATAAAAGCTCGTATCAGTATAAAAAGGTTGTAAGGGCGAAAAATTTGATCACTCAATTTGTTCTATTAGAGAAGTTGAACTTGAAACTTTTCTTTTTATTAAATGTATATATATTTCACTGGATTATTATATATTAAATTGATCCATCATACACTGATACCTTTCTATTTATTTATTGTAATTTTCATCACATAATGCAATTGTCACAAGTAATTATTCAAACAAAGAAATGTTCCAAATTCAAACTTGAACTTCAAAAATGCATGTCAACTTCTTTTCATGTGTTTGCTATAGTCTCAATTTGTAAATTAAATTCATCCCGGATATTCAATATTTTCAATCTTGATTCCTATTGATAATAGTTAAGATAGAAATAGCGATTCGATACTTATAGATTTATGACAGTAATCTTCACATACTCAAAATACACGGAAAATGTAATTGATGTGTAAAATTGTCATTATTTTCTCAATTTCTGAAAGTTTTTATATAATCAAAGCTTGGTCCATATTTATTTTGATAATCATTTCTAGGATATCTAAAATTTATATAATATATGCAACCAATTAATACTATCTATTAAATAATCGCTGATGTTGTAAAACAACAAACTGAAAATATTGACTACCTGTTAAAGCCTATTATTTATTTAAATAATCTGTGATTTGTTATTCTGCTAGACATGGTATGTTTGCCATAAGTAGGTACAGCTGTGTCATGTTGCATGAAAATATTTTTTTTTTAGTGCAGTTTGTTTGGGCCTTGAATGAGACAACATACATGATCTTCGACCATTTAAATGTTTAGTAGCGCACTGTGGGATCAAATTATAGGCCTCTTAACAAGAGATAAATAGTAATTATAAAGTTGTAGAGATTTATAATAATACAAATTTTCATGAAACTAATATTGATATTGGATAAAATCCCATTCAATACGTAACGTGGTATTTATTGTTTTATAATATTACTTTTTTCCATCTTTTCACAAGTATTCGTTTCCTTTTTGCATATCGTCGTAATACAAATGTATGTATGCTTTAATACGATAAATGTAATTTATTTTTGAAAATTTTTACACAATTTAATTGCCATATCGTACATAATAGTAATAGATTAGGTACTCAATAATTTGTATATTTCTATTCGTGGAAAAATAATAAATTTGCCATATTGTACCAGATATTTATAAAGCTCTACAACTCGTAAACCAAGACCATGTACTCTGTATTTTGGGGTATTATTAAGTAGGTATAGGTAGACATTGTCTATGTACAGTCGTAACAATGTTGCATATGCCTACTTCTTGGCAATCCTAAGTAAAGCTTATGGTTTGAATAAACTTTTTTTTTAGATAATTATGTCTTTAATAAGTAAGTAATAATTCTATTAGAAATTACAGTGCAGTATTTGAACTGTTATTATCCTGCAGCCATTTACATAGTATATTTTCTAGTTTTTAAAGTATTCTCATACAATGCATGTATGTTTTGGTTCTGAGACGTAATTAAGATAATCATTTTACTATTATAACTGGCCAATAAGTATCTGCCACTTTTCTTATATTATTATATCTATTTATCATATATACAGATAATATACAATAGTCGCACTTAATATAATTACTGTTATTATCCTATTTTTAATAATGTTATAGTAGTTATACGAATAGAAACTTGACCGCATCTAATTCTTCAATGTG